TGTTTATGTATCAATGTAATTATATAAGTGTATATATATATATAGTTAATATGTGTGTTTGTGTGCATGTACATATATATATATATATTACAAAAATATACATATATATATATGTATGTACATATATACGTATCTGTGTGTATATATTTATGTGTTTGTGTAAATATATAGACGTACATATACATGTGTGTATTTATAAATGTATGTATAACATATATGTATATATATATATATATAGATATATATATATGCGTGAGAGAGTGAGTGTGGTTTGGTGTTCCTAGGAGTGCGTGTATATTCATATGTATATATATATAATATATATATATATGTGTGTGTGTGTGTGTGCGTTATATATGTGTATGTGTTTATTATTACAGTTTTTTATAGATTACTATAGATCTTATACATATATTTATGTGTAAATATATATATATATATATATATCTTTGCGTGTTTGTATATGTGTGTTTGTGTGTCAGTATGTGTGTTTGTGTGTTTTTATGTGTATGTGCTGTGTTTGTGTGTGTGTGTCTGCTTGTGTGCTTGTATATTTATACAGGGATGTAAGTATGTATATATATATATATTCATAATTTCATATATATGTGTTTGTCTGTGTGTGACTGCTTTTGTGCTTGTATATTTATACATGGATGTATGTATGTATATATATATATATATTCATATTTTCATATATATGTGTTTGTCTGTGTGTGTGTGTTTGTGTGTGTGTATGTATGTATATATCTTAATATATATGTATACATATATTTATATATATATATATATATATATATTATCTGTCTTTATCTCTTTTTGTTTTAATTTTTGTACGCATATCTCTTTTTATATATAGTTGTACGTATTTATTTTTTAGTGTTTGTTTCTTTTTGAGTGTTCTTGCGAGTGTATTTTTCCTGAGTATACGCATATATGCGTATGTTTGTACATATCACTTGAATTAATATATGTAGTTGTATACAAAAATTTGTGTGTTTGTGTGTTGGTGTGTATTTTTGGGGTGAATATATATATATATATATAAATATAGTTATATATATATATATATCTATATTTGTATATTTGTATATATACATAGATATATAGATATGTATATATCTATCTATCTATTTATATATATATATTAT